CGTTATTCACAATAGACAAAAGGTAGAAACAACCCAAGTGTCCGCCGAACAATGAATGGTTAAACAAAATGTGATCCGTCCACAGGATGGAACCTTATTCAGCTTTAAACAGGAAGGAGATTCTAACAAATGCTACAACACGGATGAAACCCAATGACATGATGCTCAGTGACACAAGCCAGACATGAAGGACAAATATTGCAGGATTCCATCCACGAATCCTCGAGAAGCCAAATTCATAGAGATGGAAAACAGAATGGTGGGGGCCAGAGGCTGGGGGAGGGACAATGGAGTCTAGCGGTTAGTGGGGAACAGAGTTTCCGTTTGGAAAGATGAATAAGTTCTGCAAATGGATGGTGGTGATGGCTGCACAATGTATATGTACATAATGCCACTGAACTGTACATTTATAAATGGCTAAAATAGCCATTTTTATATTGCACATATTGTACCACAGTAAAGAAGTCAAAGGGTCAATGTTACTATGTGATAATTTTAGAAATTAAATAAAATGCAAAAACATGAATCAAGTATTGAATGTGCATACAAATCTCCTGAACTTGTTAAAACACAGATTCTGGCTTAGCAGGCTTTTTTTGGGGGGTGGGGGTGGGGGCTGAGAGCCTGAATTTCTAACACAGCCCCAGGTGGTGCTGACACAGCTGGTGGGGAGGACCATGAGTTATACAGTGCTAGGAGACGTCCACCAGAATGCTCACCGCTAAGCTGCCACATGTAGAAAAACTTGCAAATGAAATGTCCGTCAGTAGAGGAATGGCTAAGTTAATGGGTCTGTTCATTCAATGCAGAGCCATTCAGCAGCTAAAATGGATGGGGTAGGCTCACCCGCATTGGCAAGGATAAACAGGCTGGAATATGAAAAAAAAGCAAATTGAGGGAGAAATGTTGTGCCATGATACTTATACATAAATATTTAAAAGCACACGAGAAGATCAGGTGCTGTACCCAAGACCTATACACAGGGTTCAGTGATAAAGACAGAAGCAGGAAGACATCCACCAGTCTGAGCAACAGCTGCCTCTGGACGTGGACACAGGACAGGAGAGACCCAGGGAGCCACCAGCATGGGGACTGTTGTTTTTTCTAATCTGAAGCAAATCCAGGAAACTGCCAACAGGGTTGGGTCTAGGAGCTAGGCGTTTGTTATACCATCCTCTGTGTTTGTCAGTTTTCTTAAAATATCATGATTAAAACCCAGGGAATAAAATAATGTTTAATGTATTGTGGAAAACATAAAGAAGGATGCTGCTCACTGCGTTGGTTGTAGTAGCCAAAATATGGAAATCATCGGCCATATAAATAGAGAAAATTCATTCGAGTCTCACCATACATCCATAAGATGCAACACTGCACAAGGCATTTATCACCTGGTTGTGGGAGAGCAGGACCCTGGATGAAATCTCAAAAGCACTTCCTGGAGTGGGAGCAGCCAACAAAAAATAATTAACACCGCTGGCTTCCATCTCTGTGAACTGGGTGCCGGGTCAGGAGGTGAGGGGACAACTGGCTGGAGAGGGTGAGGGACCTTCCCGGGGTGAGAGGAATGCTCTAGGCCTTGGGCGGATAGAGATGCCGCGGTGCCTGCAGAGCCCACCCGCTGAGATGTGCATTGTTACCAATATTGTTAACAATGACGACTTAGAGAAAGTCGGGTTGTGGGAAGAGTAATGCCACGGACACACGTTTACTGTGAGTCATTGGCTGAGACGCGGAGTTGCAAACCATCGAGAAGAAGTGGACCTTGCTTTTCTTTTTGCGCGGAGAGGAGGCTGCGTGAAGGAAAGTCCACCCGGAGCGTCTTCCCCGCGGCGGGTCGGGCGCAGGCGGGCGGCAGAGGGCGCGCACGGACCGTCCGGCTGTGCCCGCACCTGCACCTGCTGGGCCCCGAGCGCGGTCGCCCCGGACGCTGCCCGGCGCCTGCAGATCCTGCTCCACAGCTGGGGGCGCGGGCCCCGGGGCGGCGATCTCCCGCGGGGAGCCAGGGCCCAGAGGGCCGCCGGGCTTGGACCTGGCCCCGCCTGACACGGCGGCCACTGCAGACCCGGCGCAGGCTTCCCCAAGCCGTCCCTGCCGCTCCACGTCTCCTAGAGGCGGGCGTCTCAGCGCCCAGGAGGCCGGCCCTCTGGGGGAGCCCAGCGGGAGGGGCCAGAATTCAGCCCCCGGCCTGGAAAGAAGCTAGGGCAGGGCTAGCGGCCTTGGAAAGTCACAGTATCTCCCTACCTCCTGCCCCACTGTTGCAAAAGTCCAGGTTTTAAGTGCTCATTTGCACGAGAAATGAGAGGATTGTAAAATAATCATGGCCCAAACATACTTCCCTGGCCAGCAACAGCCCCGGAAAGCTACAGGCCGCCCCCATCCACTCACCTACTAGAGTTTCCAGAAGGAAGAGAGGACACCATCGCCTGCCCCTCAGTTTACTGCCACCTGCTCAGACCTAGCTAGGAGCTGCCCAGGGCACAACCGGAGTTCTTTGGAGCCGTTGGCACTCCTCCGACCACATCTGGGCCGGGCAGACGAGGAGCCCCCTTGGACACCTTCTGCCTTCCTCCTCAACTGGGCTCATCCTGGGTCTAGCCTCAGAGCAAGCCCAGCTCGTCAATCTCAAGACTGACAACCTCCCATGTCCTGCCAGTCCCAGACCCTCTGGACCTGTCCATGCTCCCCAGGGGCCTCATGTGTCCCCTCCAGCCATCTGGCCCCATCTGAGGCTCAGCCTGAGTCCTCCTGTCCCCTCCCAGGGCCCAGCACTTTTCAGACTTGGAGTGAGCCCAAACACAGCAAGGCCCCACTGCATCCCCCACGCAGCACTGACCTGGCCATGCATCTGGGTTGGACATTCCCCACAGCTCAGGATCGGCCTCTGGAAGACCTCTCTTCTCAGCAGATTCCAGAGGATTCTGGCTAAGGGCAGAGAAAGAGGAAGGACCTGAAGCCACCCCAGCTCCAGCCCCAAATAGCCCCTGGGTTACCAGTGCGTCCTTCCAGGTCAGGCCCAGGTGATTGTTTGTCCCTGGTGCTGGCTCTTTGCCAGGAACACACTCTCCCCCTACACACACAGCTACCCCCACATTCCTCAGGCCAGCCAGGAAGGAGGCCTCAGGCCCTTGCTAAACACCTACTCTGTAAAGCTCTGAGGCTGCAAGAGGCCCAGGCTGCTCTCTCCGGAACAGGAATGAGGATCAGCAAAAGGGCCCTCCAGACACCCACCCCCAGCGCCCTCCTGCAGTGATGCCCTCCTGCATGCCCACACAGTGCTCTGGGTCCTGAGGGCTCATCTTGGCCCAAGCCAGTTGCACCTGCTTCATTTTCTGTGACCCTTCATTCAACCCGGGATGCCAAAAGTGGTCCCAGGCTCCCTCCCTTTGTGGGAAGGAGCTGCACTTCCTGAAGGCCAAAGCGCCTTTCAGAGCCCCAGGGTGGCCCTGGGAGACTTGCCAAGGCTAGGGGGCTCCAGGCTGGAGGAAAGATGGCCCTCACTCTCCATCAGGCAGCCTTGGGGGGGGGGGGCTGGTTAGAAACAGCTGTGGTGTCTGGTCACACCTTCCCCCTCCCTCAAAAATAATTACCTTTGAAGGCTCCCATCAACTGTCAACTCCCTGGCAAGGATCTTTGTCCTCCTTCTCAGAACTAACTCCCCAGTGCCCAGCACAGGGCCTGGCCCCAGAAGGTGCTCAGTAAGGACTGGATGAACCTGGAGATGTGTATCCTCCTGGGTCTCCTGGTCCTAGCTCCCTGACTGCCCCCAGGTCTAGGGAGGGTTCAGGTCTTTCCTGCCTAGGGCGGGGTTGGGGGGGTGGGGGTCGGGGGAGTGGGGGGGTCCCTCCTGCACCCGGGGTGCCTCCACAGCCTCCAGACGGCCCACCACCTTGTTTCCGGCCCAACCCTGCTCAAGGGGTAATTACCTAGGTGCCCCCACCCCCAACGCGCCCTCTGGACTCCCTGCACCCTGGCCTCCAGCGCGACTTTCCCCACCGTGGGGGGGGGGGGGCGGGGACAGACCCTCAACAGCCTTCTTTGTGTGGGGAGGGGAGGAGAACACACGGTCAGGGTGCACCCCATGAGCGCTGTTCTCCCTGGAAGCACCAGGGGCCAGAGGTGACCCGGTGGGGCCAGGGGGCAGCGCTGCACTGGGGACCCCCTCGCCGGACTCCTGGAGGTGTGTGACCCCACACGAACCATCCCGCCTCCGAGCTCCCCATCTGCTGCCCAGCACAGTGGAAACCCAGGTTCCCAGCCCCGGGGTCGTGGAGGCGCCGGCGTAGGTGCTGCAGGTGAGGTGCTCGCCGGGCCCAGCTCGCCGCGGGGTCCCCGGCCCGCAGGCCCCGCGCAAACAAAGGCTGTGGGCGGGGGGAGGCGGCGCCAGCCCCGGCCGCGGCGGGGGGAGGCGGGAGGGACCCTCGCGCCAGGACCCGTTCGGCCGGCCCCTCCTCGGGCGTGAGTGCCGCGACGCCCGGCGTCCCCGGCTGTGGGCTTGGCGCCGGGGCTGGGAAGGCTTCCCGGAGGTGGGGGCCCCGGCGGCGCGGGAGGGACGCGTGCGGCGCCTTTAAGAGCCGGTGCCCGGGCGAGGGGCGGAGGGCAGAGGGCGGAGGGCGGAGGCCCGCTCGCCCCCCCCGCCCCGCTCCTGCCCCCCGCGGCCGCCGCCTCTGATCTGCACCCGCGGCCCGGCTCCGGCTGACGTCACCTGCCCTGGAGCTGCGCGCGCTGATTGGCTGCAGGTGACGTCAGGGCCTTTTTCGCTCGGCATGACCTCATCCCCGCCGGCAGCCCCGCCCTCCGCCCCGGGCCTGTCACTCGCGGCCGAGCGCGGCGGCCCAGCCGGCTCCGCGCCCCCCGCCCGGACGCCGGAGCCCGAGCCGCGCCGGAGCCGCACCGGCCGCGCCCGCCGAGCCCGGGGTGGGATGCGCGCCGCGAGCGCGCGTGCCCGCCCGCAGTGCGCGCGCCCCGGCCCGAGCGAGCGCTCCCCGCGGCGGCGGCGGCGACGGCGGCGACGGCGACGAGGCCCGCGCGCTCCCCCGGCCCCTGCCCCGGCTGCGCGGGCCCCCGCCGGGCCCATGGGCGGCGCCGGTCCCCGTGCGCCCCGGACGCGAGCAGCGGCGAGGTGAGCGGGGGCGCCGAGCGGGGGCGCGGGGACACGCGGGGCGCGGGCGGGGAGCCGGTCCGGTGGGCGCAACGGCGGGAGCGCTGGGGCGGCTGCACCCGGCGGGCGCCCGGGAAGAGGCGGCGGCGGCGGGCCGGAGGGAAGAGGCCCGCCCGGTTCAGGGGGACGCGGCGGGCCGGCCCGGGAAGCCCTTCCCCCGCCTCCCACGGCGCCCAGCGGACCCCGGCCCGGTCCGCGCGGCCCCGCCAACCCCCGCTTCGCCGCCTTTCTCCTCGAAATTCTTTCTTATCTTGTGGGGGGAAGGGCATGCAGTAAGCACCCCGGACCCGGGCCCTCTGCGATCCAGCGCAGACCTGTACGGACCTCGGCTAGAGCCCCAGACTTCCCAGGCTGCCCCCCACCGCACCAGGGAAGCCCCAGATCGGACGGTCGTTCCTGCCCCCGCAGGGTAGGGATGCAGGCCCTGACCAAGGGAGCGGAGGGTTTGGGCCTGTGGGAGGCTTCGGAAAGGGCCCATTCCGAGCTCGGTGGGGAGGAGCTGCAGACCCCCTGGCCCCTGTGTGGTCAGGCCGCCACCGGTACCCCCACCTCAGGGTGCTCAGCTGGCCTCTGCAGAATAAAGACCATCCGCCAGCCTGCTGCAGAGGCAGCAGCGGGTGCTGGGGGAGGGGCTGGCACTGCCAGGCTGAGTGCAAGCAGCCTGCCTCAGCCTATCTGCCCACCTTAGTGGGGAGGGGTACCTCAGTGTCTGGCCTTGAAGGGAGGTGGTCACAATGGGCCCAGCTCCCATCAGGTCACCGCCACTGGGAGAATTTGCCTCCTGACTTCCCACTGCAAAAATGGACTGGCTTCTGCAGGGGGGAGTTGGGGGCCTGGGTGCTTCAGTGATTGCGGGGTGCAAGGGGCAGTCCATGCGGCAGAGAAGTGGCAGGGTCTACGGTGATGCCCAAAGTGTCGTGGTGCAGCCTGGGGTGGAGGTGGGGGTGCTGCAGATCAGGGGAGCAGCGTTCTGCTGTGCCCCCTGCCCCTGGGAGTCTGAGTGGAGGTCTGTGGGTCCAGGCACTGCCCTCTGCCTCCCTCAGACCTTCTTGCTGGGAGGGCAGCTCAGGAAATGAGTGTAGCATCCAGTACACCACCACACACACACACACACACACACACACACACCCCACCTCCTGCTCAGGGAGGACAGATGTCCCAGGAATTCACTCCTCAGATGCTTAATAAGCACCTGCCCGGTAGGACAGATCATGTGACTAGGAGCTGGGAGTTCATCCTGAATACCTCCCGCTGCAGTCAGCCAAGGGCTCCGGGAGAGCTGCTGGGCAGGTTCTAGTTCCCAGCAACCCCCACCCCGTTCCCCCCTCTGCTGCCCTCAGCCCTCAGGAAGGCTCCTGTGCCCCCGAGGCTGCCTCCAGGAACGCAGGCTTCCATGCAATGGATGCAGAAGGATGCTTGAAGGCATCCTCTGCTCCAGAAACCTACCCAGCATCCTCTCCTCTCCAGCTGAGGCTGACCTTGGAGCCCAGATGTTTCTGCTGCACGGACAGAGGGCCCAAGGGGCCTTGGAAGCCAGGGGGTATCCTGGCTGCATCTCCAGAGGGTGCAGCTCAGAGGGAAAGCAGATGAAGGAGCCAAACCATGGCGAGAGGGACATGGGTCAGACTCTCACCACCAGGACTGCACAGGCTGAGTCCACTTCTGCCTGGACCGCTCCAGGCAGTGACCGTAGATATCCCGGGATGGCCCACATGTGTAGCATGGGGGGACAGTGACCAGAGTCCTGCAGTAGGGCTAGCACAAGCCAGGCAGGAACAGAGGAAACCTAGATCTGTAGGGTCCTGAGTGTGGCCTTCTAAGGACCCACATGCTGAGACCTACTGCAGGCTCTACCCAGACCCCTGTGAACTGAGGGGGCAGGGCCCCACCCCATTGTCTCCCAGGCCCATGGCCTCCACACCAAGTCAGCCCTACTTGGCCTTGCCATCAGTCCCTCTGGGACCAGGTAAAGGCCAACTTGGGTCCTGTTCCAAGGGAGGATGAGGGGGCAGGAGTGAGAGCATCTAGGAGTCCCTGATGAAAGCAGAGGAGGGGAAAAATGAGCTAAGTGGGTGAGAGCTATCTACCAGCCTATCTCCTGGCCTCGTTGTGCAGCAGTTTTTGACTCCAGAGGTACCCCTGGGTCACAGCGAGCTGGACATCGCAGCATAGTGGAGGCCCCCTGCCAGCTCTTCTCAAGGGTCTACCTATGAGTGCCAGGCACCACTCGGGCTGGAGACACCGCTGTGAGTGAGAGCCAAGGCCCACCCATGGCTGACAGTCCTGACCGTTGTCTCTGGAGGTAGTGAGTTCCCTGTCAGTAGGTGCTGAGCAGAAGGCCTTGGTGAAAATGCTATCCATTGGGAGTTTTCAGGCCATGCATGTCCCTTGCTCAGGGACAAAGATGTGCCCCATGGAGGCCCTGAGAGCCAACAATGTAAAGAGATCTTGGGGCTGGCCCCTGGGGTTTGAGTGTCCTGGGATTTGAGGGGATTTGGCCCCCAGAGGGTGAGGATGAGTGCACCCAGTGGCCACATGTACCAGCACACATGTCTGCCTTGTGAGTAGTTGCATGAGGGGATGGGGTGGCTTGTGGAAAAGAGGTGAGCAGACAGGGTTCAGACAGGATGCAGAAGGGCATGTCACAGGACAGGCTGCCCTGTGTATGTGGCCTTGCAGGGCAAGGGGAGCTGCTTGCCGCCTGCTGGGTAGTGCCCAGCCTGGTGGGGAGGGGCCTCCAGTCTTCGGAACTGCCAAGTCTCCCTAGCCACGAACCCTTTGATAGGGGTGTCTGTAGTTGTGCCTCCATCCCACCGGCACCGAGACTCTAGAATAGCAGGTGATGGATACTGTTTCCCCTCATTTCCCAAGAATGGGTTCTGGATTGAGCCTGGAGAGGGTCCCTGAAGTCAGAGAGGCCTGAGACTTACAATATCTGTTTTCTCTGTGCCTACCAGGCCTGTTCTAGCCCCACTCATCTGCTCAAGACTGTCCTAAGCTTCCCTAGCCCCACTGGAGCTCTGGGCCCAGATCCATCCCACTGCAGGCAAGGGCCTGTCCCAGGAGCTTTAGGCTCCTGGAGTCCCCGTGGGTGAGGATGCACTCCCAGGATGCCCGCTCAGAACAAGAGGTCTCCTGCAGGAAGTGCACTCTGGCCAGACCTTGGCCACTTGGAGAAGGTTTTCCCGGAGGTGGGAGTGAGGGGGGCTGTGCGCACAGGTGCCCAAGGCAAGGAAGGTTAGGACCAGGCTGAGCAGGGGTGGGGTTGGTTGGGGTACTGGAGGAATGTCACACCTGGGCTTTGGGGCTCATGTGGACTTGGCCCAGGGTTATCCCAGGTCCCAGCTCCTGGGCACCTGCAGGAAGCAAGGGGTGGGCCCTGCCGTCCTGCAGAGCCAGCCTGCTCTGTGGCTGTGCCGCAGGAGCGGCGGTTGCCTGGCACCTCTGTGGTTGCCATGGCAACGACGGAGGTGCTAACTTGCTAATGAGTCCCCCTCGGCTGCAAATAACAATACTATAGCGGTTAATATGGCTGAGCTGCAGAGTTCCTTGGGGGAGGTGGGGCTGAGACCAGGTACCGGGCCCTGGAACCTCGCTGCCCACCCTTCCAGCCCCCTGCCCCTGTCCTGGAGCCCTGCAGCCTGGCTGGGCTCTTCCCCACCCTCCTCCCCTCTTGAGCCTGCCTCCCTGCCTGTCCTACAGCCTGGATTCCCATCTGTGGAGGTTGCACCCCTCCCCACCCCAACTCCTCTCCTGTCCAGTTAAGGACCTGAGGGTAGTGTTTGCACCCAGTGGCTGCAGGGAGGGCAGAGGATCTCTCCTAGCCCCTTCCCTTGTCCCTGCCTCTGGCATTTGTTGCTTCAGGTGGGAAACGATCTGCCCTCACCTGAAGGATGAGGACACTGAGTGCCCCTCTGCCCCGCTCCAGCTAGCTGTCTCAGGGACGGGCCTTGGAACTGGGCTCCTAGTCACACATCCAAGAGCAGGAGGCTTGTGGGGGATGTGGAGGGGGTGCTGCTAGCTGCGGCCTGTCTGCCACACCACAGACACAGGTTAGAACTCAGAACAGTTCATTCAGGAATTGAATCAGGGACCCCTCAGCAGATGAGAATCCTTGGGCAGGTAGGACTCCCCTCCACCAACAGGCAGGACCTCCCCAGCTAGTGAAGACTCCCCCTCAGCTTGTGGGTTATCCCTTTTGCAGATGAGGGACAGCTGCTCCAGCTGCACTCCCAGGCCTTACCCCCACAGTGGAGGAGCCCGGGCAGCAGGGTGTCTGTGGATGGGATCCTCGGGCCCTGCCCACTGATGAGGGCCATCCCAAGCACTTCCCTTTGGGCCAACTTCCATGGCTCAGCCCAAGGCTGCCCTTGGACACGGTCTACACCTGCCTTGCGCCTAGTTCTCTGTGAACTCCGCCATCCCCTCCACCGGCCTGGGAGCTCACCTGAGGAATGAGCACCAACATCACTGAAATGGGACAGTGTCCTGGGGTGGGGGGCCTCCCCCAACACCATCTGCAGCTGCAGCTTGGGGGCTTGCTGCAGGGCTCCCCCTCCGCCATCTGACCACCAGCCTCTCCTGTGTCTGAGCTAGGTGGGGGTGTGGTGGAGGGAAGACCCCAAATGAGTGGCAGTGGTAGAGGCCTTGGAGCCTGTCCAGTCTTTGTGGTGTCACCTGAGGCTGATCCCACTCCTACCGCAAGCCTCAGCCTCCCCATCTTTAAAGTAAACTTGTCCTCATACTGTGTGCCTCATGGTAGGCTGTGAGGCTAGGTGAGCCTAAGAAAGGCCAGTCCTGGGGCACCTGAGTGGCTTAGTGGTTGAGCATCTGCCTTTGGTCAGGTCGTGGTCCTGAGTACTGGGATCGAGTACTGCATCGGATTATCTGTGGAGAGCCTGCTTCTCCCTCTGCCTATGTCTCTGCCTCTCTCTGTCTCTCATGAGTAAATAAATATTTTTTTTTTTTTTTTTTTTTAAAGAAAGAGGGCAGCCCCGGTGGCACAGCGGTTTAGCGCCGCCTGCAGCCCAGGGCGTGATCCTGGAGACCCTGGATCGAGTCCCACATCGGACTCTCTGCAGGGAGCCTGCTTCTCCCTCTGGCTGTGTCTCTGCCTCTCTCTCTCTCTCTCTCTCTCTCTCTCTCTCTGTGTGTGTGTGTGTCTCTATGAATAAATAAATAAAATCTTTTAAAAAATAAAATAAAATAAAAATAAAGAAAAAAGAAAAAGAAAAGAATGGCTAGTCCTGGCAGGTGGCAGGGCAGGTGGGTCCTGGCAGGTGGGGTGGCGGTGCGAGGTATGTGGCAGAGGCTTGGCACCAAATCCGCAGGAGGGAGTCTCTGCGCCGGGATCTGGGGTCCCCACATCCCCATCTACCTCCTACTTCCTCCAAGAGGAAGAGTCCTATATATGGGTTACCTACTTAGACTTTCATCCTCAGACGCCACCCATATCACCCCGTCCTGGGACCTACAAGTCCTTAGAAGGCTCCCCCTAGACCTTGGGCTTTCACTGTGCCTGGAACACCCTGCCACACTGCCACCTCTGTTCTGTGAGCGTGTGACATGCTCCTGCAGGGAGACGGGCGCTGGCCCCAGACCCTTTTTGCAGCTGGCATTATTGTGACAATGGCAGGAGCGTAGGAGCCCGGCCTCCACTCCCAAGACCCCTCCAGCACCCTGCCTAGGCACCTGCCCCTTCCTATGGGTCCAGTTATCCGCTTCTGGAGCACTGGTACTGGGCAGGGCTGGAGAGGGGGTTGTGCTGGGGCAGGGGGCAGGCTCTGGATCCCTGCCTTGCCCAGAGTTCTGGAGATTAAGAAGATGTGCAGGCCAGAGAGGGAGAAGTCTGCATCCCGGCAATGGGATGACAGAAGCCTTGGGGGCAGGATGAATGTTCTGGATTGAGTGAGGGCCCATGAACCCAAGGGCCCAGGGGAGGGGTTCTCAGGCCTGTCCTGCACATCCAGCCCAGTCCAAGTTCTGAGACCCTTGCTGTGTCCCACTGAGAGGCTGTCACCGTGACCTGCACAGTCCAGAGCTGAATGGGACCATTCCAGAACATTCTCCTGGTCCAAGGGCCACAGAGCCCACCCTGCTTGCCTCAGATGCTAGGGAACTTGACTTTCACAGAGCCAGAGGGGCTGCCGATTTACCCCAAGGGAGGGAGGGCCCCCATGGGTGCATGCCAGGCTCAAACATTCTGGTGCCCTCAGGTCCCAGCATGGGTCCTTCTGAGGTTGGCCTGCCGGGGGAGCTGGCCGGGTGCCCACCCTGGGGGCCTGCACCACTGCTGACCATCTGCCTCTCCCTGCAGGTCTGGCACCATGCCCGGTCCCTCCGAACTGTAGGCCACATCCCTGGCCTTCGGAGCAGCCCCTGTGCACTGCAGGGCTCACCCCCTCCCCACTGCCCACTGCCCCACCATGGCTGGGGACCGGCTCCCTCGGAAGGTGATGGATGCCAAGAAGCTGGCCAGCCTCCTGCGGGGCGGACCTGGGGGACCATTGGTCATCGACAGCCGCTCTTTTGTGGAGTACAACAGCTGGCACGTGCTCAGCTCTGTCAACATCTGCTGCTCCAAGCTGGTGAAGCGGCGGCTGCAGCAGGGCAAGGTGACCATCGCCGAGCTCATCCAGCCAGCCGTGCGCGGCCAGGTACCTGGCCCCTGCCACCCACGCCCTGTCCCCTGTCCCCACCCAGACACCCATCACTTCCAGGGGCGAGGGCAGAGTTCCTCGGCCAGGTACACAGACAGGGCCTCTCAGCTGGGGCAGCCTCCGCCTCCTCTGCCCTCACACCCAAACTGAGCTCTTTGGGTCAGAATGTTCTGAGCCGTTCCATCCCTCGGGCCTTGTAGGCAGCCCCCACCCCTCTCCCTGAGCTTCCTCTTAGGGTGGACAGATGCTCCTCCCCAGGGAGACCCCCCCCCCCCCGGCTAATACCCTCTCCCCAGATACAATCCATCACCCCTCCCTCCCAGAGGCTGCTGACCCTATGTGGGTCCTTGCCACCTAAGATGGGGCCATGTCCCTGGGGTCCAGACCAGGACTCAGAGAGGGGTGCAGCAGGGCAGCGAACCATGGTGGCAGCCATGGTGGCAGCTGGTCAGGCGCACACTGATGGCTGTGAGAACCCAGAGGAACGCAGGAGGGGGGCCAAGAGGCTTATGCTGAGCCGCGTGTGCCCCCCCCCCAGTTCTTTCCCCTAGAGTTGGGAGTGACCCAGAATTCTCTCTGTGCCTCCCCCCTCCACCGCCCCAGATAATCACAGGTCACCTGCAGTGGAGCCAGGAGCACTGGGAGGGACCACTGGCCTGGTGACCTGGGGAGGCAGGGTACCTCTGGCACCGGTCAGGGGGTGGCATGCCCAGCAGCTCAGAGCTATGGGAGGGTGTTGATCACAGGCCTTGGGCCAGCAGAGCTGGGTGTGAGGACCCAGGTGGTACAGCCTCTTGTGGGGAGTCCCCCCCTCCCAAGGCCAGAACCAGCTCCCTGCAGCCTTGATGAGGGGAATCCGGTGATTAATCACCCCCAGCGAGGACTCCCTGCCAGAGCGCAATCCCATTGGCTGCTGGTGACATCATCCAGCCCAGGGCTGGCGGCTCAGCTGGCTTAGGGGCCGAGTGTGCTTGGGGGGCAGGGCATTAGCCACTCCGAGCAAAAGCTGCTCAGCATCTGGTCCCAAGGCTGGGAGGAGGGCAGTGGAATCCCAACCTCTAGCTGCCTCCTGAATTATAGGGGCTCTTGCCACAGCCCCCACTTTGCCCATCACTGGCTAGGGGATTGCCCAGACCCAAAGGCACGCCACCTTCAGGAGCCTCTAAACACACCTCCCAGTGACCCTGGGGACAGTTTTCCCTTTGCCTCAGACACCCTGACAGAGTCTGTACATTCCTGTCACTGTGGCCACCTGCACATGCCCCCGAGAACACTGTCACATTCACCTGCACATCCTCCACATGAGCCTGGCCCACCCTGGATGCCCACCCCGTCTGTTCCCTTAGCTGGGGTGACTGCACACAAGGGTGCAGCATGGAGATGAGCACCTCCCCGTTTCCTCCTGCTCTGAGGGCCTCCCTGTGTGTCTGTGGGCACTTAGCCCCATCCAAGTGTGAGCCGGGAGGTGGATGGGTGAAAGTCTGCCCTCCCTGCGAGGCAGCAAGGCAGGGATAACCCCTCCCCACCAGAGCCTGCCCAGTAGCAGAGGGTGGCAACAGGGGGCAGGGGGCATCCAGCAGACGCCCAGCAGTGCCCTCACCTCTGCCCTCACGGCCCCCAGGTGGAGGCCGCAGAGCCACAGGACGTGGTAGTGTATGACCAGAGCACACGGGACGCCAGCGTGCTGGCTGCGGACAGTTTCCTCTCCATCCTGCTCAGCAAGCTGGACGGCTGCTTCGACAGCGTGGCCATCCTCACGGGTGAGCTCCAGACACACCTCGGGCAGAGGCTCTGGGGTGTCCTCTCCTCGCTGTAAGCCTAGCTGCGGGGGCACCTGGGGAGTCAGGGCTCTGGACCCACCTCTGCTCTCTTCTCTGAGCCCAGAGACCAGCAGGTACTAGGGCAGTATGTGGAGCTAGGGGTGCCATCTCAGTAACCAGAGCTCTTTGCAGCCCCATCGTCCCCTCCCTGGGCCCCCACAGTTCAGAACCCCCTCCAACATGGGCCCGCCCCTCCACTGGCAGGGGAGGAGGGATGGGGTCTAGGCAAGGATGTGTCTCTGCCCCTCCAGCTGTTGGGAAGGGGAGTCACAGTCCCAATCTGAGCAGAACTGGTCCAGGACAGGGTGCCTCTGAATGCTGCACCTGTGCAGCTGCTGACAGAGTGCCTGACCCCTGATTGGGGGCCAGCAGAGGCCCCTATAGGGCTGGCTGTTCCCTGAAAACAGCCCAGCCATCCTGGAGGCTGGGAAGCCCCCCACCATACGCATATGCATGAGTGCCTGAGCATGCATGTGTGCACACACACACACACACACACACACAGGCTCCACAGTGGTTCTGGATGATTCTGTCCTCCTGTAGGCAGGGGCTGGGCACCTCCATAGAATCCACCTCCCCCAGGCAGCCCAGGACCCAGGGCTGGGTTGAGCTGGCCTGTCCCAGGGAGGTGCACCCTCCCTGCCCAGGTCTGGGGCCTCTGGGTGCCAGGGGCCACTGCAGGTGAGTGGAGGATGGAGAGGGCTGATGAGGGTGTCATCCCTACCCTCACACAGCCGATAGGACTCTTCTGTACATTCAGCACATGTGCCCTGAGCAGCCCCTGTGTGTGGGCACCCTGTGGGGTAGTCCGTGGGCACCAGGTTGGCCCCCTGGCACTGGTGTCCAGTGGGAGCACAGACCTTCACCACTGCCCAGGGGAAGTTTTGGGGAGAACCTACCCAAGGCTTTAGTTGGGCTGTTCTGGGCTGACCTCTAGGAGGAAGCACCCCTTGAGCTCACCCCAAGGGCTTCTTGGTGGGTCTGCAGTGTATGCAGGTGTGCGCGCTGCCATCTACACCTGTGTCTGGGTCTACATAGTCCGAGGGCATCTGCATCTGTGTGTGGCTCTGGGATGCTGGTGATCCGTGCTTGCTTGTGCGTATGTGTCCCACCTCGGCGACCCCAAATTTGTGTGGATAGGATGTGGGTTTGTGTGCATGTGTGTGAACTCTGGGACCAGAAGCCACAGAATTGCAGACTGCCCCCTGAGCTGTTTGGGGGCTGAGCGGGTAGGGAGAAGACAGAGGGCACAGAGGTCTGGGCTTTTTGGCAGGTGTCCTGGGCAGAACAGGAGCCCAGCTGGGAACCCAGCGTGTATGTTCACACCTGCGCATGTCAATGTGCATGTGCGCGCGTGCTCTGTAGTCAGGAGTGGGAGTCCCCAGGCCTCCTGGGAGTCTGAGAAGCAGGTCTAGGGCAGTGCCCTCCCTCCCTTACTATCAGGCCTCCCAGGAAAGCCTACAACCTCTCATGTCAGTCTCCTCTGGAGCCAGGGGCCCCTCACCCAGCAGGCAGAGGCTGGGATGTGCCACGAGGGCTCACCAGGGACCTGGCTGTGTCCTACTTGGCTGGCTGAACCCTTGGGGCAACCACCTGCTCTTTCTCCCCTGCCTGCCCCTGCTTTCCTGAGGGCCAGGTGAGGCCCAAGTCCTGACCCACGGTGCTGTGAGTGAGACGGGCTCCTGGTGGCACCAAGCAGGCCCCGGGCAGGGGGGCAGCATCAGAGCCTGGCCCACAGCTCCCACCAGAGGCAAGCACAGCTGCCGGACCGGTGGGAATGGGAAGGCAAGGCTGGGGGGAGGCGGTCAGAGGGCCGCTGCCCAGACACAAGGGGAAGTGACTGTCCAGGGGGATGGGGCTCAGCAAAGGCCAGAAAGGGAGGACCCCCCTCGGTGGGTGGGGCGCAGGAGGATGGCGGGGCTATCCCTCTCGGAGAGACCGCGGCGGCTTTCGGAAGCAGGAGAGAGGCAGGAGAGGGCCGCGGGGGGGCAGGCGCGCTGGGGTCCGGAACCCGCTGCCGGCACCGCTGCCCCCCCCGCCCCCCCCGCCCCCCACAGCGGCTCGGCGGTGACGTCCGGCGGGGCGGGGACGGAAAGGGAGCCTGGCCCTTTAAGCCGCGGGCGGCCCTCGCCCGGGTGCGCGTTGCTGCGGAATGCGGGCTGGTGATGTCGCCGCGCCGGGTCGGTGGGTCCCCGCGGCCCGACCCCGCACGCGCCGCCCTCGGACCCTGGCCGGAGACCGCGGCGGGAGCGCCCCGTGCGCGGAGGGTGCGCGGAGGGCGCGCGGCGGGCGTGCGGGGTGGGGGGGAGCGTGCGCAGGTGCGGACCCTGCCCGGGGCGCGGGGGCGGGGTGGGGGCGGGCGGGGGGGGCCGCGGCGGTACGCGGGGCTGCGAGGCGCGCGCCCGCCCAGGGGCAGGAGAGCGCGCGGGGGAGCCGCGGGCGGGGGCACTGGCGGGGCCCGGGGCCCGCGGAGTCGGTGGACGGTGGACGCGCTGCGTCCTGGGCTTGGGCTTTTGTGCGAATCCGGGATTCCATTGTGTGGCGCAGAGCCGGGAAGCGGTGAGGCAGAGGGAGGTGGGCATCCCTCCTGAAGGAAGGTGCCCTTGGGGAGGCCTCGGGGTGGGGGCGCCCCTGCTGCCAGTAGTGCCAGCACCTGGGAGGGTCCAGGCCTGCTGCCACTGACCCAACCAGGGGTGGCCGTCTCCTGCACCCCAGAACCTGGGAGGGTCCTGAAATCACGGGAGGGGCGGGGCCTCGGGCTCTGCTGCACTTGGCATCCATGGGGCAGTTATCAGGTTGGGGGCACTCCTGTGGGGCTTTACCTGAGGAGTTGCCGTCAAATCTGGTGTGTCTGCACCTGACCAGAGATCCCCCTTTGTGGGAGAGGTTCCTGGTGGAATACAGCCCCCCACCCTTCACCTTAGGCCACCCAGAGAGCAAGAGAGGCATAGGGTAGAGATGAGTCTTTGGAGAGGTCCTGCCGACCTTGCCCCTCCTGGGGTAGGGGGGGCTCTCCTTCAGGAGGAACATCCAGGGAACCCCTGGCTCTGACTGGTAAACAGGAGCCCAGCCCCAGCACCCCGGTCAGCTTTCTCCTGTGAACTGGGTTGTCAGTGATGCCGATAATCACCCACGGCTCCCTATCCAGCCAGCAGGTTGCCAAGATAGGGACAGCTTCTCCTTCACTGCTGGTGCCTCCCCTCCCTCAACTGGAGGTTCCACATCACCATGCCCCCTGCCAAAGTAAAGCCTCCATTGGGGGCCACAGAGCACACATGGCAGGCACTCTGATTGGCAGTTTATACAAACTGGTCATTGAGCTGGGCCAGGGGTGAAGGCTGAGGGCACCAGGTATCTCTGTCCTGGGAAACCAGCCAGGGTCTGACACCAGCTGTTTCTGCAGCCCAGGAAAGAGAACTGGGGGTCTCGTGGCCTGGGACCCGTGCTCTCACTCTCCTTCTGTGGCACGTCAGACGAGGCCTCGGTCCATCTGTACTCTGTAATGGATCAGTCCACTGAGAGCAGGGAATGTCCACGGGGTTGTGTCGCCGAAAGTGTGGTTAACTCCAGGGTGGCGACTAGGTAGTCTCATCTCACCCCTTACCCCAGGAGCTGGCGATCACAGCTGTGGGTGTGGGCAAGTCAGCTCCCAGTGTGTATGCACGGGCATCATTTCCCTTTAGACTCACAACTGTGCTATGTGGCAGGCAGGATGCAGAAACAGGCCAGGGTGTGATGAGCTCTGCCCGTGGCCACTCACTGAGTCAGGGAGAAACTGGGGATTCCCACTTGGGTCTTTCAGGGCCAGTGGAGATGCTCCCTCCACTGACCTATGGCCCAGGACGTGTATGTGGTAGGAAGGCAGCGCACATGCCAGCCACGTGTAGGACGTGCGCCCGCTGCGTGCCCTGCTTGCTCACAGTCCCGGGGGTTCCCAGCTCTTAGTCCATCCTCTGGTGCTGTCTTCTGGGCAGAATGGAGCCCTAACTAGGGCACAGGTGCCCCCGCGGGCCATGCCAATTCCAGTAGGTGATGTCATGCCCAGGGGGGAGGAGGGCCCCTTGGAAGCCCTTGCCTGCTGGTCCTGGCACCCAAGCTTGGCCTGGGGCCTCCAGCCAAGTAGAGTCAGGGAGGGATTGCATCAGCCCAGGGGGAGAGGCAGGAAGGCCCAGGCTGGCTTCCAGCCATGGGCACGGAAGATCCACACTGTCAACAGGAGCCTGCCATAGCGTCTGAACTCACCCTTGCCTGGGTCCTGCACATGCTAGGCTGGCCTGCCACCTTGACCCCACATTTATGGGCATCACAGCAGCGTCCCCAGGGGGGCCAGCTCCTAATTAGCCTGGGGAGGAATGTGGGCGTAGGGGCAGGCTGTATATGGGCACAGCACACGCCTCGACTTCGTGAGAGCAGCCCTCTAGCACCTAACACTGACACCAGGTGCCCAGGCCAGAGGCTCACCTGCTGGCATCACTTTGGGCTGGGAGTCCAGGCTGGGTGTGGCTGAGATGTAGGGGTGGTCGGGTGCCCTGGGCTCTTTCTCCTACCCCAGCCGGCTGACCACCTGACCCACGTCTCCTCTGTTCCTCCTTCTGCAGGGGGCTTTGCCACCTTCTCCTCCTGCTTCCCTGGCCTCTGTGAGGGCAAGCCTGCTGCCCTGCTGCCCATGAGCCTCTCCCAGCCCTGCCTGCCTGTGCCCAGTGTGGGCCTGACCCGCATCCTGCCTCACCTCTACCTGGGCTCTCAGAAAGATGTCCTGAACAAGGTGTGTGGGCTTGGCCGGGAAAGGTGGCAGGAGTGCAGGTGCAGCTCCTGGGCTGGTTTTGGGGCGGGGGGGGGGGGGCAGGGCACAGAAAGGAACTGAAAGCCAATGAGGGGATGAGTGAGCATGGTGTGGGAGAAGACTGGGTTGAGGGCAGGAGATCGCAAGGGGGCTGGGTAGGACCAGAGTAGGGCTGGGTGGAGAAGCAGCTCCCAGCCCCTTAGGCGGTGGAGCCCACATGCCAAACTGCTGATGTCACTGGGCCCCCGGCCAGCTCAGAAAGAATCCCGTGTTTTAAAATTGTGATGAGGGAAGAGGGTAAAGCCACCGCCCAGGCAGCCATAAAATTCCTGGGAGCCTACCTCAGGCTGTGGGCGGCGCCAGCGGAGACCAGCATCCCGACCCCCGCTCCGGAGGCTCCAGAGGCTCTGAGCTCCCAGGTGGAAGTGGGAGGGGCTCCTGGAGCCAGGCTTCCACCTCCAGGGCACCCCTGTCCAACCTGTCCCTCCCCCATCTCTCCAGGACCTGATGACCCAGAATGGAATAAGCTATGTCCTCAATGCCAGCAACTCCTGCCCCAAGCCAGACTTCATCTGTGAGAGCCGCTTCATGCGCATTCCCATCAATGACAACTACTGCGAAAAGCTGCTGCCCTGGCTGGACAAGTCCATTGAGTTCATTGGTGAGGGGGGCGCCCTCCTGCCCGTGTCCTCAGGGGTGTGGGGGGGTGGGGGTCTCGTGGAGGAGGGTGTGCAGGAGGCAGGGGAGAAGCACTGTGCCCAGCTGCGCTTGGGCCTCAGACAGAGCTGGGATGGTAGGCGGGAGGGCAGGAAGGTCCCCTACCTGGGTTAGGGAAGGGCTGCGCAACCTGAGCGCTCATCTGGCCCCATGGCTCCTGCCTCCAGATAAAGCTAAGCTGTCCAGCTGCCAAGTCATCGTCCACTGTCTGGCTGGCATCTCCCGCTCTGCCACCATCGCCATCGCGTACATCATGAAGACCATGGGCATGTCCTCTGACGATGCCTACAGGTAGCCTCTCCTTTCTTCCTGGGCTCAGAAGAGGAAGGCTGGAAGCAGCCCCTTGCCGTCCCCTCTCCACCCACGAGAGCAGCAGCATGGACCTGGCTGGGAGGGGGAGGCAGGCGCAGGCTCCCGCACTATCTGGTGTGCACACCCGCTGTGTGCCCCAGCACCGCAGGGGGAGCTGGGGAGAGGGGGAGACAGGCAGGGAGCCTGTCCAACGCTGCCGCCTTCCCCCAGGTTCGTGAAGGACCGGCGCCCATCCATCTCTCCCAACTTCAACTTCCTGGGCCAGCTGCTGGAGTATGAGCGCAGCCTGAAGCTGCTGGCTGCCCTGCAGGGGGACGGGGCGTCCCACCCGGGGACCCCTGAGCCCCTCCCGGGCCCCGCCGCCCCGCTGCCGCCGCCACCACCTACCTCAGAGAGCGCTGCCACCGGGAGCGCGGCGGCCAGTGCGGCCAGGGAGGGCGTGCCTGGCACCGGCGGGGAGCTGCCCGCGCCTGCCCCCGCCCCGGCCACCAGCGCGCTGCAGCAGGGCCTGCGTGGCCTGCACCTGTCCTCCGACCGCCTCCAGGACACCAACCGCCTGAAGCGCTCTTTCTCCCTGGACATCAAGTCGGCCTATGCCCCCAGCCGGCGGCCCGACGACCCGGGGCCCCCCGACCCTGGCGAGGCCCCCAAGCTCTGCAAGCTGGACAGCCCGTCGGGGGGCGCGCTGGGCCTGCCCTCGCCGGGCCCCGACAGCCCGGACGCGGTGCCGGAGACGCGCCCGCGCCTCCGCCGGCGGCCCCGGCCTCCCGCCGGCTCCCCGGCGCGCTCCCCGGCGCCCGGGCTCGGCCTGAACTTCGGTGACGCCGCCCGGCAGACTCCGCGGCTCGGCCTCTCGGCCCTGTCGGCCCCTGGGCTGCCTGGCCCCGGCCAGCCCGTGGGCCCCGGGAGCTGGGTGCCGCCGCTCGACTCCCCCGGCACGCCGTCGCCCGACGGGCCCTGGTGCTTCAGCCCCGAGGGGGCACAGGGCGCGGGCGGCGCGCGGTTTGCGCCCTTCGGCCGGGCGGGCGCTCAGGGCGCGGGGGGCGGCGACCTGCGGCGGCGGGAGGCGGCGAGGGCTGAGGCCCGGGACGCGCGGACCGGCTGGCCCGACGAGCCGGCCCCGGAGACGCAGTTCAAGCGCCGAAGCTGCCAGATGGAGTTCGAGGAGGGCATGGTGGAGGGGCGCGCGCGGGGCGAGGAGCTGGCCGCCCTGGGCAAGCAGGCCAGCTTCTCGGGCAGCGTGGAGGTCATCGAGGTGTCCTGACGGCGGCCAGGGACCGGCGCCCGGCGCTCCGCTGCCCTCGGCTCCTGGCCTGGGTCGCCAGCAGCCGGCCCGCTATAAATATATATTATATATAATGCAAAGAAAGGTAAATGGTTTTACTGCGATTTTTATCGAGAAGTAAATATTTCGATTTTTTATTTATTTAAGCTGTTCATTCTGGCAATGATTTGGCAACAGTGCGGGCGGTCCTCGGAGCTCTATTTTTACTGTCTGGTATTTAAACTGAAACACACGTTTCTAAGCAATATGAGGCCACCTTCAGCCCCAAGCTGGGGTGCCAGGCCTGGGGTCCCCTCCCCACTCCCCCCCCCCCAGGAAACACTGCTGACCGTTGCAAAGAGGCTGCCAAGCTTTCGTGCACTTTTTACATAAGAAAAAGGGGAAAAAGGAGAAAAAAACTTTGCCACAAACTGAGCCGCAGAACCTCCCTGCCCCTCCCTGCCCCTCCCTGCCCCTCCCTGCCCCCTCCTCTCCATTCCTCCTCCTCTGCTCCTTTCTTGGGCTCTGCACCAAAGTCTAGGTGGGGGACATGTCCCAGGAGCTGGGGTGTGGCCGAGGCGGCTCTGCCAGCTGGAGGCACCCCCAACCCCTGCCCTCTGCCTCCCCCGCCCCCCACCCCGCCCCATTGCCCGGTTGATATAGACTGGCTTTGGGCCTGGAGAGGCTAGAGTATTCGGAGCAGGCTGGGGATAAGACAGGATAGGGGCTCCATGAGGGGGCTCTTGAGTGTCACATGCCCTGGGTCCCCAGGGCAGGGATGGAGGCGAAATGCCTCCCACTCCTGCCTGAGACCAGGGCCAGTTTCTCGGGTTCAGCAAGGCTGTTCCGTGGAGGCTGCTCCTCCTCCTCTACTCGGGGGTGCTGCTCCGCACCACCTGCCAGGTGAGGGAAAGAGGAGAGGCGCCGGGCCCCAGTGGGTATGAGGCAGGAGGAGCTGGACTAGCCAGTGCTGTCTCCACTGGTCAGAGGGCAGATGCATTTAGAGTCTGGTTCTGGGCTCTTCCCCCGCTGGCCCCAGGCCAAACTTGGAATTCAGGTATGTTCCTACAGGTGGAGGGCCTCCACCAGGAGCTGGCTGCCTTGCTGACTGAGGGGGTAGTTAAGCACCTGTCAGACCCTTATGCTTCCAGGGGATGGGGGTCCTTAGCTTTGGGAGAGCCATCTCCAAACAAAGACCCCTGATATGGGCAGGTGCAGGTGTCCCCCCCCACCTGCCCCAGCCCCACGGGGTCCTTGAAGAAGAGCACTCCCATACTCCCCTGGGGAGCTCTCACCTCTGAAGCCTCCCTAGTATCTTCAAGTGATATGCCAGGTGGCCTGTTGGCCCGGGTGGGCTGGCCTGGCACTAAAGCAGGGAAAAGCCACAGCTGCACCTGCCCCACACCCTCTTGGGTCACTGGGACCCATGGCTTTTGGAGGCAGGAGATGTCCCCCAACCCTCAGATGTCCTAGTGTCTAGTGGAGGGGGGGGGGTGACTGGTCGCCTCGGGGAAGAAGCCAGGGGCTTGGCAGGAGGGGCAGCTGGGTGGACTGAGTCTTCAGGCAGCTGCCCTGTGGCTGTTTCTTCTGTTTGTTCTGTTGACCTGCAGCCCCGTGCACCTGTCATCCCTCCTTTAAGCAAAAGTCCTCTTCCTGTTCCCTCTGTCCCCACCCCATTTCCCAAGAAAATAAGCTATCATTGTTGTGTTTGCAATCTATGGATTAGAGGTTTAAGTATTTATTATTGGTTAATTATTATTATGATTGATTATGTAAACTTGCCTTCTGTCTGTCTATCGCGTTGGGTTTCTGAGGTGACCCTGGGTGTGGAGGATGCACTGGTCCCCACCTCCGCGCCCCACCCCTGTGCTGTCCAGGAGACAGTGGTCTGGGGCCACTGGTTGGGCCCAAAACTCTGGAGGCAGGTCCCGCAGCCCCAGTTCTTCCCCTCTCTTTGCCCTCTGCCCTTTCTCTAGGGCCGCCAGCATCTCTTGTAACTTAGGTCTTGGAGTGGGGGGGCTCTTGCTCTTGAGGCACTGGTCACCCCAAAGTGAGCAGCTGCAATGTGTGGGGAGGTCCTGTCTTGGCCACCCCTCTCTTGTCCTGGGGGGACTGGGCCCTGGCACGCATCCCTCCCCGGTCACTTCCACATACTGCCTGAGGTGAGGCAGGGGCCAGGCCCTAGCCCTCTCCAAGTCTCTCAGTCCTCCTCCCCCCTCCCTGGCTCTGGCATTGGGGGTCATCCCAGAATGGACCCCGCCCCCTCCTAATATTTGCTGGAAAGTCCAGCGGAGGAGAGGTGGCAGGTCCCCCGCATGGCTCCCAGTCTCTCTGGACTGGGCAGTCCGCCCCCACCTTAGAACCCTTCCCCCAGTGCGGCCACACTCTGCTCCCTGTCCTGTCCCCTTCTTTTGTATTTGGAAACAACGTGTTGTAATAAATCCTGAGATGGATGTTTTCTCCATGCCTCTGGCTGCCTCTTTCTTCAGGCGGGTTGAGTGGTTGGAGTGGAGAGCATGGGGCAGTGGTCCTGGAGGTTCCTAAGGCCAAGAGACTGGGGCATTGGGCCCAAAAGACCAATTTCCCCAGGATTCGCTGCCTCAGAGCCCGAGGGCAGGGTGGGCAGGATGGGGGTGCAGTGCTGGGGAAGGGGCCCCAGCCCACTCTAGAATGGAGAACACCCTGTTTGTTGCTACCTGCTAGTGAAAATTTTATTTATTTATTTATTTATTTATTTATTTATTTATTTATTTATTTATTTTATTTTTTTTGGTGAAAATTTTAAAAACTTAACAACTATACCCAATAAGAACTTGGTTTTGCCCCTCAACCCTTCCCCATCCCACTACCGGGTGTAAGTCCTGCAGACAAATGTGTGTGCCTGTGTGTGTGTGTGTGCCACGACAGCCTTCCCTTCCAACAGAATTTGGGGTCTAGCTACAGAGTGTTTGCAACTAGCTTTTCAATTATTTAAATTATTTGTTGAAGGAATCCACGTGCATGCTACAAGGACCACAGGCACACGAGAGTATCTGGTGGAAGGCACTGGGGTGACTCACCCGTTTTTGTGGGTTCCTCTCCCTGGGGTCAGTGCAAGCGATGGGCTCCAGCCCCCCACTCCCCCCCACCCAGGGGCTAGATTAGTCCTCCGGAATGCGGTTACAGCTGCAGCTCTGAGCATTCAGGTAATGCTCTCCTGGGACAGATTTTCAGACATGACTCCTCTGGGTCACCCAACGCTTGCCTGGCTGTTACTATAACGACAGCTTCTGTGTACTGGGCTCACTATGTGCTAGGCACTACTCCAGGCATCCTGGCATTTCCCAGGAAAAGATCTCCCAGGCTCAGGGGTGGGGTTGGGGTGGGGTGGGGCAGGGCAGGGCGGGGTGGGGGGGCGGGACTGAAGGACAGGTCTGTGCCCTCAGCCCCATGGCCCTCTGGCTAACACAGCACTAGCCCTCAAAGAGAGTCTGACCCTTCTTGGAGGTTTGGCCTGCTTATTCCTAGGGACACTTCCCTAGTTCCAAGCTGCTGGTAGCCCAAACCAGGAACACAGGCCAGACCTATGTGTGTGTGTGCATGTGAGCACACATACACCGGATTGCGCACACGCATGCAGGATGTGCATGTTTCAGGAGGCTGGAAGAGATGAGAAAGCAGGAGATGGGGAAAGCTGAGGGGCTCAGCTGGCCCCTCTCTGGGGGGGCTGTGGGAAGAGGCAGGGTCCTTGAATCCAGCATCCCTAGGAGCCCTCAAGAGGCCGAAAACTAGAAGCACAGGGCTGTCTAAAGCAAGGCTATTTTTAGCTTAAGAACATCTATTTATAACTCTGGCAGCCCCTTGGAGTCCATAAAACTGGAGACTGGAAGAAAGCTGATGGCTGTCTCAAGCAGCCCACGGTGCCTCCTGCTCCCTAAGGAGGCAGGGTGATGGCACCTCTCCCAGGATGACCCGCTGGGGCTCATAAGGACAAAGGACCCAAGTGGGGTGGGAAGATGCCAGCTACCAAGTCGACCAGGCTCCTGGAGGTCAACTGGCCCAAGGGCTGAACAGAGCAAGTAGCCAGGCACACCTGGGCACTGTGGGCTGGCCTCCACCTGCTCTGGACCACATGGTCTGGTGCCTGCCGCAAGGGGTCTTCTGCAAACACTGGGCATCCTGCCTGCTTCTGCCTCTCACTCCTCTGCCCTCCTTGGTCAAGAGCTTTAGGGTCTTGATGGGTCTCGGAAGGGTGAGTGCATTGTAGGTAAAGGGTTGCTCTGTGTTGGTTTCACCTGTGGGTAATGATGCTATCGACTGGGGATGCCCGAAGCCCCCACCAGGGCCTGTACCACCGCTGGTGGCCACTACGGGCATTTCCCCATGGGAGCCGGTGTCATGGCAGGACTGGCGCTGGAGGTCCATCCTACATTACAGGACACACTTTAGCACCAGCCATCAGGGAACTTGGAGGAAGCTTTACTGCTCATGGCTCCTGGAGGGGACAGCAAGGTCGCAGATAGAGAGGGAGGCTGCATGGACCTTGGTCTCTGACTTTCGGGGGTTGGGGGTGGGGGCTGGGGTTTCTAGAGTGGTTGGCTATCAAGTCACTGAGGAGTTTCTAGAACAGAACTGCCTGGGTGGGGCAGCCTGGCTCTTTATCCAGTCCAGTAGCTCGCAATGTGTTTATTTGAGATGGATGTCTTTGAAGTGAATGTCTCAGCAATCAAAAGCTTAAAGTCATGCAGTTACATTAAGAATCAAAAAAGCTAATCCTCAGGCACTTATACTCCAGGGCTGGCTGGCTGGCTGGCTGGCTGGGTATAAGGGTTTGATAGATGGGGGATTAGGGAGTGGCTGTGTGAATAGTGGTATATGGATGGGTGGGTGAGATGGGTGGATGGATGGGTAGATGGTTGAGTGTGTAGATGTGTGGATAGATGAGTAAATGGGAGGCTGGCTGGGTGGTTAGTGGTCGGATGGGTAGGTAGATTGGTGGACAGGAGATTGATGGATGGGTAAATGGGAGGAAGGCAGGGAGGGAGGGAGAGAAAGAAGATGGATAAGTAGTAACATATTACAGGGTGCACTTCTGCTGGTCTACCTTACGTTGAAGCTGTGTGCCTGCCTCCATTCTACCACTGGTCTGCATACAGACACCTAGTCCCTGCTTATAGAAGATGGTCAGTAAATGTTCAATGTATAAAGCACAGGCTCAGAGCTGGGCACCACTGCAGAGACCCAGTTCAATCCTTTCCAGGACCCAAGGAGGTGCTAAAAGAGTGACAACAGGCCCAAAATGGAGCCACCTGTGCTAAGCCCCCCACCAGCAAGCCGAGACTAATCACCTAATCTAACTGCAGTTCCAGCCTCTCCCAGAGGTGGACTCAGTCTGGAATTTCCTGGTCAGCACCAGTGAGGTCATCTGCTGGATAAGATCCCTGCCTTCCCTAAGGGAAGGTGACCTTCCTGAAACAATCCACTCTTTTAGCTTCCTTGTCCTCTCCCCCACTTCTGCCTATATAAACCTTTCATTCTGTACCACTCCCCAGAGCTTCTTTCTACCTGCTAGGTGGGATATTGCCCAATTCACAAATCTTTAAATAAAGCCAATTAAATTTTCAAATTTCTTTCAGTTGAATTTTGTTTTTTAACAAGAGGAACTGACTTTCCAACATCCCTCAGAGTCAGGGCAGAGTTGGGGTGGGCTCAATGCCTGACTCTGGGCTCTGCTCATCCCAGCTGAGCAGTCTGCAGAGGTATCATGGAATGGGCCAGCCACAGTGGCCCCTCAAGCCCCTTCCAGCTCCAACCTAAAGGGGCTTAGCCGGGGAAGCATGAAGCCGCTGGCTCTCAGGAAGGCTTGGGGTGAGGGGTTTGGCCTCTGAAAGCCAGGTTGGATTTGGAGAACTGGGACATATGTAGAGAGGTGACACGGTACCAGGGCCACAGAGAAAGGGTGGAGGTGGGGCTGAACACCTCGGGGCCAGGCAGAAGCTGATGACCTCTGCAAGGTGAGGTCCAGTGAGAGGGGGAGTGCACAGCTCTGAAAGGCAGGGATGGGGCAAGGGGTTCCTCTGTTCTGCCAAAAAGTAGTTCTTCCTGAGGAGCCGTGGAGCCTCCAAGGATCTGAAAAAAATGCAAACTGGCAGTTCGGTGTCCCATTCTCCAGAAAGTGGCACAGGGTTGGTTGGGTCCTGGGCATACAGGCTGATTGCCAGCAGAGTGTCACAGAGGTGCCTTGTGCAGATGGCATGAGCCCTCGGGAAAGGAACCTTTCTCTCCCGGGGAAGACGGCTCCTTGAGCCAACCCCCCAGGGTAGTCTCATCCTTTTGTCAGGGGGCAGGGGTCTAGGCTGGCAAGGCTGCCCTGGGGTCTGTTCCTGGCCATTGTGGGGTCCCTAGACATAGGGTCATCTCTGAATGAGTGGCCAGGCCCTGAAGATGGTGCTGTTAGCTTAATGAAGGTGAGGGGAAGGGAGCAGTTCCTCCTCCACTCCCCAGGATAAAACCAGAGCTAATGTTGGTCAGGCAGGAAGGCACCAGGCTGAGATGTGGGGGCCAGTGCCCAGACCTCTGAGGAGTTCTTGGTGGGCTGGGGGGAAGAACTGCTCCCTCTCTCAAATACACACAGGCCACAGGGCAGGGTGATGCCAGGGGTAGATCTTTGCCAAGCAGGCAGGTGCCTGGGGAGCCCCTCCAGCCTTTCAAAGCTGAGCAAACACTTCCAACAACCCAGTTCCTGGGGAACACTAGGAGAGGGGCTGGGAGTGGGGTGGTCTCAGGAGAGTAAGGGGTGGGTGGAGAGGGGCTCCCTGAAGTCAGATGGATGGAGCCAGAGCAGATTGGGATTTGGGTAAGGGACCTTCATTCCAGAGGAAAAGAGGCAGAGGCCACCATGTGCAGCCCTCCTTAGCCGGGTGGAAGCCTTCTCCCCAGCTCTTTGCAAATAGCAACGAGGAGACCAGAGCAGCAAAGGCCCTTCCTCAGGGCAGCCCAGCAGGGACAGTTCTGGGAGCAGAGGGAAAGCTGCCTCTTCCTTTCTATACACACCCCCGCCAGCCGGCCCCCCAGTCTTAAATTAGGGGGCTTCCTCCCCTGACCCCCATCCTGTGCTCTCCGCTCCTCTGCTGCATCTGAGCCCCAGCCAATTGGGGATCTGCTGGACAGCCAGCCCAGCGCCAGCACACACACCTGGTCCCCCGGGACCCAGCAGGCCAGGTAGCTGACCCAGCGGGGATGCTGGTACCCTTGGCATAGGGCCCAAGAAGCCAGACTCAGCCTGACGCAATTGGCGGACCTTCCTATAAATAGCCAAGGAGAGCTCGAAATAGAAGTGGGAGAAGAGGAGGGGGAGGGGCTGGACTCCTGCAGCGGTGGCCGGAGAGAGCGCCCCCCCTGCCCCCCCCCGCCCCCCCTCCCCGGGCTAACGGAGTGTTTGCACACAGAAACAGCCGCAGAGGAAGGGTGAAGTCAGAACCTTACCG